AGTGGTAATATAACCTGATATACCAATACGTCCTTGGCGAAAACGTAGCAGAACTTCAAAGAGTGATTGACCTAAAGTTGGACAAGCAAGGAGCTCATCGTTTAAATTCTGTCCCGCATATTCAAATGAGCAGTTGAATACCATTCTGTTCTTTCCACTGCGGTGTACAACGTGCCATTGGATGTAACATCCTGACTGCTGATCAGGATTCAATTTTTCGACCAGTCCGTCAACTCGTATACACTGAGCTGTTCTCTTTTAGTTTATTGATGTATGACTGACAGAACTCATCAACTCTGGGTTGTGGGTTATCTTCCTTTGAGTTGAGAGGGCCAGGCCTTGCACACACCTCGGGGTGCTAGTCGGAGGTCTATGTCCTGGTTTCCGTAGTAGTGGAGTCTGGAGCCTCTGCACACCCTTGATCTCAACATGTGTTTTTTCTTCCAACATTATAACTGACAACTTGTCATATCTGGAGCGCACTGCTTCTCTTTTGTTGACGTGATTCAACTGGTCTACAGCCATAAACTTTCCATCAACTTGTGTGACTGGTTATTGGGCTGTCGGTTGCCAGTTTACAACAACTGGGGCCACTTTCCTGTTTGTTGAAGACCTTGTCTGCCTTGGACCGTCCAACCGAATAGGGTCTTCACCGCGACTGGTAATGTCATATTAGAACTTTATATTTTATCCTAACAGATGCGTATTGCCTTAATATATAAATAGTATTTTACTCCAGTTAGTGAATAACAGCTCTTAGTCTATGACAAAAGATTGTTGGATTGTTGATAAATTTGCATATGCGTAAATCCGTTTACACAGTTGGTAGAACATGATAAGTATAGAGTTTTTGTTCAGTTATAAACCGACGGAATGGGGCGAGTTAGGATAGAAACTCCGACAAGGCTCGCAGTTGAACGTGGTGGGGCCCGTCTATGTTTAACCTACAGTGCGGTAGTGGACATTGTGAGTATTTGAATACTAACTGTTGTAATTAATAAAAATTGTTGTGATGTCATGCCTACGGATATTTAGATATTTAAAAATTGATTATAATGAATACTATTAAATGTTAATGCATGGATTATTGAATTATAATCTGAAAACTATTAAATGTTAATATATAGGTGCAACATTTACATAAATGTCTATGTGCGTATGTCTATATGCATATATGTATGTGTATATATGTACCGGTTTTTAACGTGGCTGGATGATTTATAAGACATTCTTGTTTTTATGCATATTTTGTTTTAATACAGTGTCACCTAACTTTCCATTTTGGGAGCTACTTGTTATTATCGTATGGAACTTTTAAGCCAATGATGGCGTAAGGTAAATCAAAGCTACCTTTACTCATCAAGAATTGGAAGCTGTTATTGAAAGCAATAAGGACGTATAGTATTGGTAGTTATTTATAGTTGCTATGGAGATATAGTGGACAAAATCATGCAGATTTTGGTAGCAATTTTTCAGAATAATTAAGTAATGTTATTTGAGAAATATATGTTATGTTAAGTATTATTATTAATTGGATGATATATGTTATATTCTATATTTGTATTGTTTGTATTGCTTAGGCCTATTGTTTGTTTCGGCACATTCGTCCAGTTCCCCCATATGTGTTGAGTTGGCCTTTTGGCCCATATACTGTTATGGGAACGACACTAATCAGAATGTCATTCATTAATCTTGGCCACTGCTAAGTGTCGTCCACCAAGGTGTCTACGTAGGTAAGCAAACTTGGTGGTTTCCGGTATCTGCAATTGAGACTGATCCATTATCTCACACCGATCTGAACGTTGTATCGTATTGTTTCACACTGTGTTCATCACAAAATTTGGGGACGTCAAGTTTTGGCAAGCTATCCCAAAGTTATGGCGAGCCGAGTTGTCATTTATTCGTAAATAGAGATATCTTAGTTTTAAATAGAGATATCTTAGTTTTTAATAGATATCTCTATTAGTAGAGATATCTCTATTAACAAAGATATCACTATTTAAAACTAAGATATCTCTATTTAAAACTAAGATATCTCTATTTAAACCTAAGATATCTCTATTAAAACTAAGATATCTCTATTTTCATCGTAAATAGGGATATCTTAGTTTTTATTTGAGATATCTTAGTTTTAAATAGAGATATCTTAGTTTTAAATAGAGATATCTTAGTTTTTAATTGAGATATTTTAGTTTTTAATAGAGATATCTCTATTAATAGATTTAATTTAAAACTAAGATATCTTTATTTAATACTAACATATCTCAATCTCAGAGATATTTCTGTTAATAAAGTAATTTTAGTTTTGTTTCCTGTTGCAATGTCTGATGGGATAGCGTATACCTTAGAATGTGGTAGGAATCTGTTTTGGCGGCAGCGGATTGATTCAAAATGTGATTAGGTTTATTATGCGCAGAGCTATGTGTGTCCAAGGACTTTGGCTATCAGTCAGGTCCTTAAAACATACTTCCACCATCCACTGTTATACTATATTTAACGAAATTATTTCGTAACAGATGTAATAACCATCGATAAAAGCTAAATATAACATTCACATGCAAATAATGCTTTAGCCTTTGCATCTTCATATTCATTTGCTAAATAATGTCAGATCAATTGTTTTGATTATAGACCTATACTTTTTTTATCTGTTACATTTGTTTTATCGTACATTTCGTCATATTAATCGTTTTATTAATTAATATATTTCCACTCCGATTAGTTACACTTATATCTCAACATTGAGGTCAGTCATGGGTTCTCGTGCTGGAAGTAGCTTGTGTCCTTGGGCAAGGCACTCAATAACATGGCAAATAAGATGGTAATAAGCAGCACGTATATTCCCAGCGAAATATATGTAAATATAGACATTGATACCATGATACACAGTTGACGTATTATAGGAACATTATTTTATAAGGTACGAATATTTCGTCCTGTCCTCAGGACTTTCTCAACAGTAGAAAATAATTGTACTGGCCGAAACGAGGTCCACTCGCTAGTCATAAGGTTCGCTATTTATAAGGTCCACTTTTCATAAGGTCCGCTACTTATAATGGCAATTGTTTATAAGGTTCACTATTCATAATTTTTTTAAATGTCCACTATTCATAAAGCTCATTATTTATAAGGTTCGCTAATTATAACAGAATAACAGGTTCGCTAGTCATAATAAAGGGTTCATTACTTATAATCAAGAAAAGAGTTCGTTATTTATAATAGAAAAATAGGACCGTTAGTCATAAGGTTCGCTATTCATAATAAAAAAAAGAGGTTCGCTATTTATAATGAAAAAAGAGGTTCGCTATTCATAATTTTTAAAAAATTATCATAATAAAAAAGGGTTCGCTATTCATAATTTTTAAAAGAGGTTCGCTTGTCATAATAAATAAAAGATGTCGCTAGTCATAGAAAAAAAGTTTCGCTAGTCATAATAAAAAAAAAGGAGTCTCAAACGCTAGTACACATTAAATTGTAATACTTTTTTAAATTACTCTTTAAATAATAGGAAATAAACATTTTCTTCAATATCCGAATCTTTTAAAATGTAAATATAAAAATTTATAAAACATAAAAACAAGTTTATATTTAAACAAACCGTAAAATATTTGAATTAGTAACTTATAAAATATAACTTAAAACCAAACTTGAAGCAGTTGTTTACAAGGTCTACCTTGAGAGTCATGTGAAGTACCGTACTATAGTTTACTCATCATATCAATGCTCAACACCCCTT